ACGAGGGAAGACAACAGAGAATTGGCAAGAAAAGCTGAGGGATGTATTAGACATTTGGGAGAGAATGAGAGATTGGGTCATGACTAATGACCCCCAGATTGGTCAGCTAAGTTCCAACTCTGAGTATATGCAGTGGTATAAAGCTCACACTAGACGTTGGATGACAAAAGACGCAACCGTCTCATCATTACTTGTAAGTGTACAATATAATGGCTTTTGTGTTTTTGATTTGTAATATTGTTAACATACAAAAATTTGTTTTGTAGGGTGATGGTCTTGAGAGAGCCCACTACTTGATGACTGATAGCCATGACTCTTTCACCTTTGATGAGATGCGAGACTTGTGTCAGTCTATGCTATTTTTGAAGAATGATTTGAATCGCATTATGGAACCTATTTCTTCATTCGAGCCTTCGATATAGATTGAAAATAATGAAGATCTAGTTATAGATGTCGGTCAACTTAGGGACCATGAGGAAGACAGGGGATTACAACATAGACGCATAGAGGTACAAGCGATAGATTGGTCTCTTCCACCAATACCTGAGCGTCCTAATGGAGTCTTCTATGTTCCGTCACAGTTTCCTTTCCACATAGAGTCTGTTAATGCACCTACATATTTTCACTCATCTTAGGCGACCCAACATTCGCCACAGACCCCTTCATCACCACAGAGTGTTATATCCCATATCTATCACCATTCATGACTCCACTTCCATATGATGCAGCTATTGTAACACCACCATCACTAGCACCAGCACCAGCCTTTGACACTGGAACCTCATATGATACCTTATACATGGAATAGATTTGAATACTAACTTCGAAGCAGTGTTAGATGTTCCAGCTCCAAAGGTACATCGTAACCCACATCGTGGAGCCAAAGATAGGCCTTGGGAGTGCATCTTGACCCCACATCAGCCTGATCAACTACACGAGGATAGAGATTGACTTTCTTCAGCCACTTGTGATACATAATTGTTATGCAAAATATCAGATATTGTTGTCATTCTATCTTCTGGAGCTTAACCAGCTTTTGAAATATGAAACTTTGTTTACTTTTATACACCGTTTGGTTATGTATATACTTATGTTATGCAAATTTCTTATAAAAAGAAATAGGATCATAATGAACATATTGCCATTTATGTTATACTACAAAGAAACATGCTGACAATTAACAAATTATGTAGAACAACTTCATACTTAATATCCTAAATACTACTTATTAGGTTGTATAGAAGTACATTGACGTACATTGTGACCAATTTGATGACAATTACTACATCTATGTCTACGTTGTGATTCAATCCAATCCATTTCATTCCTAATTTGAGTTGATTTGGGTCTTCCCTTACCTCTGATTATCGTCTCATCAGGCACTAACTTCCACTCATTGCATGTAAGAACATTATTGTCATTTCCTAGGGGGAACCATGGTGATGAATATGCATTGGACATTTTGGACAGAGTAAACATCATCAACATATTGCCAAAAGTCAATACTTACCAATGCATAGGCAGTAATCACATGTGAGCATGGATATCGATAGGCCTGAAATCTCCTACATTCACAGTATCTTCTACACAGAACAATAGTCCACTTGTTACCACCCCTTTGTGTGATCGGATTAAAGGCTTCTTCAAACTCAAATCTTGTTCTTTCTATATCATATTGTCTCACTTGATATAAAGATGCTTCCTTTTGATTTTTCTACATTTTTAGCATAAGTTTTGAACAAAACCTCTGACCATTGTTCAGGTTATTCATTGCATCCTGTCCACGCTTCACAAAATATTCAACCATTCGTCCTTAAGAGCATTTGACAAGAGCGGTTATAGGTAAGTTTCTTGCCCCCTTTAATACCTTGTTAACAGCCTTTGACAAATTCATGGTCATGTGTCCATAATGGCGTCCATCGTCGTTATGACTTAAAGCCCATTTTTCTTTTGATATGTTGTCAATCCACCTCTGTATTTCTAGTGATTCATTGTGAAATCTTCTCAACTTCTCTTTGAATACAACCTTCGAAGGTATATATGCTGCAAATAACAATTATTCAACCATTACTTGACAATTAAAATCAATATAAGTTAAGAGGAAACAAAAGAAAAATAGAGTCATGTTACCTAATTTCGTCAGGTGTTTTTTCAATTCAATGTTCTTGAATTTATGATTGAAATTGCTTGCTATATGAAGAATACAATAAACATGATATGCATTAGGAGGTTGTCATTCAATATGTGAGTTTTGAAACAATACTTTTGATGCTTTGATGCCTATCAAATATTAAACATAATCCTATCTTTGTTGTTACATGCACACGAATCATTGCCAAAAACCATTCCCATGCTAATAGAGTCTCTCCTTCAACAATAGCAAAAGCAAGTGGTAGGACACAATTATTTCCATCTTGCATCGTTACAATCAACAATGTGTGACGATACTTACCATACAAAAATGTTTCATCTACCTGAATAATAAGTTTGCAAAAGTTTAATGCTTGCTTACATTGATGAAAACACCAAAACAATCGCTCAAATACTCTAAATATGTTGTCCTCCTGATGTCCAACAACAAATGGCTTCGTTTCAATCTTATAAATAGACCTTAGAGCATGAAATTACATGTACTCTAACCATCTTGGCATTGTAGCATATGATTCATCCCAGTTACCAAATATTCTTACAATTGCCTTTTGTTTCGCCTTCCAAGCCTTCTTGTATGAAATTTTATATCCAAATTGACTTGTCATCCTTTCTTGAATTAGGCTTATAGGCAATGATGGTTCAAGATTAACCATACCTACATAACAACGAAACAAAAGAGGTAAGTCTCTTTATTGTCAAAAGGCTTCACGAAATAAGATTTTATGCAAAACTTACCAATGATGCATGAACAAATCAAATCTGAATCTAGCTTGGTATGGTCTTGAGATATTGTTGGGTTGAGACATGTATGCTTACCCCCACACTTTGTTATTTTCTATTGACTTGAATTTTTAAGTAATGATGCTCTTATTCTCGATGGATAACCATTGTTATGGTTTAAACACTTCACATACAACTTTATTGGTTTTGACTCAACAATAAAATAACTATGATGTATTTTCATTGCATGCTGTTTTAAGGCATTTTTAACTTCCTCTTTGAAGTCAAATAATAAACCCACGTGTAACGGATCTCCAATAATCTATGAAATGTCATCATTAATTTCTTCTGCTTCAATTTCTTGGTCTGGGTGGTCCCAATTAATATAATTGTAGTGTGGACTTATATTCCAAAAAGGTATTTCACTTACAATTGCATATAAACAGACATTATTCATCATAAAAAAAAAATAAACATGATATCAATATACTTTATAAATATTACCTCCAACATTTTCTTGTTATAAATTTAAGTTTGAATCAAAATCACCATCTACATCTGTATTCGATGAGCTATCTAACGAAATATATCCTTCATTAATATCATCATCATCATTATTGACTTCATCTTCATCTTTATAACTACATAAACCTGTATATCCTTTAAAATACATACACTTATTCAATATGTGTCGTCACTAAAAATTTAAAAATAAAATAAAATTATAGTATAATTTATATCTTCTCTAACATTTATATTTCCCATTTCCATAAGGTTAGGCGGTGATATTGATAAGCTTAAGTCCAACATATTTGATCCAACTCTTGAACTCTCACCAAATGCAATATCTACATATAATTCGATAACCGTTGTAATACTTTGTTGTTAATACGCACTAATCATACAATCAATATCTTTATCATCACATATATTCAATGCAGTGTATTGTTTAGTACTTGAATCGACCATAAAATGAGAAATTATTTTAGATATGAAATGATTATTACTAAAATTCAACTTGTCATGAATCTTTTTTTTCAAATTCATAAAACTTACCCCTTTTCTTATTTTTATCATTTTTTTGTCACCTTCAAATGTCACACCTTCATATCTAACAACAATTTTTCTATTCCAATAGACAATAATAATAATTTCACTCATCTTGCATTTTTAAGAAAATAAAATATCAATAAACAATTACAATTATACTTATTTGTATAAATAAAAAAATAAATTATTATTAAACCACACAAATATACTACTATATTTCACATTATTTTATATTATAAAAATCTTATATTTTTTATACATATTCCACATATATATAATAAATATTCACAATAAATATAACATTTATTTTTTAAATGTTAAACATCTATTAATATAACAAATATAACTACTCCTATTTATTTAAGTAATTAAAAAAAAAATCTCAAATTTATTAATAATAAAAATATTTAACAATATTATTTATAACTAATCTTATATCAAGTCTTCTAAGTGTGCCTATCTTCACGTCAATTTGCCTCAATTTAGATCCGCAGGGAGGTAGATTAAATAGTTCAAATTTTCTGGACATTTGGGTGTAGCCGCGGTGAATAAACCAGGGATATAAGCACTTTCGTCTTCATGTGAATCGAATTTGAGGAAAAAAATCTGACCCCTGCAGTTTCGTCTAAAATTAGGATGAATTCAATTATAACTGGACACATGTCATTTTCTCACAGTTTCGTCTTTATTAAAGACGAAGTTAATGTATTTCGTCCTTTGTGATACTACATGTTGCGAGTTTTACAATATTTTATCTCTGTTTTAGACGAATTGAATAAATAAAAAATAATAATTTCATCTATATTAAATACAAAATTATTGTATATTGGCAAAAATTTATCCTAAACAGAGAATAAGTTTTTTTTACTTTAATTCAGTAATTATTTTAAAAAAAAATATTATTTTAATCGTTAAGCCGAGAAACTGAAAATGAAACTACAGCCTTTATCTGTGGTTGAGCTGGCGATCATTCATTGGTAGATAGCGTGCAATGTATCGAGTTGCGTGCATGAGCATAACGCGGTATTGTTACCCTGGCATGTTGCATCCACCAATAGGGTTGCGTCTCTAGGAATATTTTACAATATTTTATTAACCCACTTCACTTCTCATAAAGTCTTCCTCACTACTCACTCCAATTCCTCTCCGTCGCTTTAAACCAACTGCTCTTTTCTCTTTCTTAGGTTTTCAACGTTGCAACTATCCATGGCCAATCGCTGGCTCAGGCCCGAGGTGCTTTTCGATCCATCATCAAATTATCCCATTTACGTTTTAGGGTTTTCTTTTTTAATTTTTATTTTTATTTTCAGGTATATCCGCTGTTCGCTGCAGTTGGTGTTGCTATTGGGATCTGTGGGTTTCAACTGGTTCGTAATATCTGCATCAATCCTGAAGTCAGGTCTCTCTCTCTCTCTCTCTATCTCTCTCTGCTGTAATGAATTTTTTGTGACTTTTTTAGTTGTAGGTTCGATCTTTCGAATTATTGATTAGGGTTTTTCTCTTGTTTGGATGGGATCGGTTGAATTGTCAGTGCTTATATTTACTTTTTGCTTTTTGTTGAACTTCTCTCTTTGACTTTGACCCTTTGTGAATTTTAATCATCCAAGTTATTCATTTATTTTTTTATCAAAATATTAAATCGGTATGTTTATTGAAGGTTAATTGATGAAAGAAATTGGGGGAAATGGAGGATTCGTTAATTTGTGAATTGAGATATAGAGTCAAATTAAAAGTAAACGAAGCTTCATAACATAATGACTATTGACTAGAGTAGTCATTCACTTTGGAATTATAAGTTATCTGTGGCTTATTCCCTAGATTACTCAAATCGTTACATGACAGAACAGGGATAATTGAAAAAGAAAGTTGATTATTTTTTAGCAGGTGTCGAGTCATTCATCATCGCAAGTGTTGTTGCTATTGTTGGTTAATTTAGAGTAAACTGCCAGATCAGTCCCTATAATTATGATGTCTTGTTATTTTAAACCCTAAAATTATAAAATGGATATTTCCGTCCTTGAAATAAAATACTATTTTCATTTTAGTTTAGACCAGTTCGGACCTGTCAATTTGATCATTGACTTTGCCAATTATTAGTCATTTTAGTCCTTGACTTTAATGTCAACTTAGGACCAGATTGATTGATGATTGTCAAAGTCAAGGACTAAATCTGCTTTCTTGTAATATCAAAGGCTAAGTAATTTTAGGGTCTAAATTTATGTTTTTTACACGTTGATTTGATTTATTAGTAACTGGTTATTAACGGAATATAATGGATGTTTGTTTTGTTCTTTTCATGTATTTAGGGTGAACAAGGAGGGAAGGGCTGCGGGAGTGTTGGAGAACTTTGATGAGGGAGAGAAATATGCTGAGCACTTCTTGAGGAAGTATGTACGAAACAGAACACCAGAGATTATGCCCTCCATCAACAGCTTCTTCACTGACCCAAGTCGCAGTTAAGTTGCTTTGGATGAACAAGGTTAATTTGAGAAATAAGCTCTATTATGTTTGAGACAGTTTTATTGTGCATTTAGAAAACAAAATGTGGTTGATCTCTCAGGAGAACAGTGTATTTGCTGTGGTTGAGAATAACAATACTATGCTTGACGCATTAATGTTTACTGCTGTTTTTCTCTCCATCTAGGTTGCTACAGAAATATATGTGGAAACTGGTATTGAAAATATACAGCAATTACTAATCTCGTCTCAAGTTTGTTACAATTTAAATCCTATAAGTGCATAGATCAGTCAATATAGCGTTCTAACCTTTGTTGAGGTCATGAATTCTTTTTTTTTTTGTTTGGGAGAATGCAGTTACATTAAAAGCTTGGGAGAAGGATTTTGTTATTCAAAAAGTTTGATAGCTTAGATGTCTAGTATAGTAGTCAGATACAGGTAGTCCTAGATTAAAAAAAAACCTGTCATTTGCGTACAGGGGAATACAATTGTTTTATCACTATGACAACCAAGTCTTATTTCATTAGATGAAGCTGACTAAGTTCTTTTAGGTCTTCTTGACTTCTCTTTACTAGACTAAGAGTCATGCCATCCACGTTTCTTACTTGTACGACTAAGTCTTCTTTGCTACTGTTTTATTAATGTTAGTGTGAAATTGTCCTGCCTAGTATCTTATCTTGTCTAAAATATAAACAAATTACAAAGTAGTGTATATGAAAAGGTTTGTATTACTGATAATCAAGGTAAAATCTCACTGTTGAGGGCACTTGCTCCTTGAAATGAAGAGAGCTTCTTCATTCTTGTCGTGTTTTGAAATCCGAGCACTGCGTATAGACCTCTCATCTTCTGCAATGCATATCTGTCTTGAAAGTTATATAAGGAGAGGTGAAATGCTAAATGCCAATGTACGTCACGTGGCTTTGAATTCTCTTATTGTGCACATTTTGCATGAACTCCACCAGCTTGTGCCATCACAAGCCACAACAGTAATTAGTATTTTTTTTTTTCTTCTAAATGACAGAAATGAATGGGGGAAACATTTTGAAGTTGGAAAAATGTAGAAGATATTCCACACGTTCTAAACTTGTCTTGTAATAAAGTGATGCCTCCTCCTCAGTGAAGGATGTAGCTTTGCTAGATGTATTCTATTGCATGTCATTACAGTGTTGTTCCCTTAGGTTACACCGGGACACCTGATTAACCCGGCAAGCATGCGAAGCTATTCTGTTTCAACTTTGAGCCAATGCAGTCCCTTGGTTGCAAGAACACAAAATAATGACGTGAATAATCCCATCATCTTATAGTAATAAGTGGGCTGGTTAGTGCTGGTGCAAACTAGTTACACCGAAGACCAAGTTTTTTATATCATTAACATCAATCTCTCTAATCAAAATAATGACGTGAATAATCGTTTCAATGTAAAAGCGTTTATTAAGAGTAGGATATACAATTAAAAGAATGTATTTTCATTTCATTATTTAATTTAATAACTCGATAATTTGTTTATTTTCTAGAAGCAGATTTCAAAATAAAATGTGTTCGTTAAAATGAAGCTAAATTAATTTTTTAACTTAATTTTAGAAAATACTTTTAGCTCATTTTTTAAAAAAGATATTTTACTTTTTAATTATAAAAAAATTATTTAACTCATATCTTTTGAAAGACTCGTACCACCTGTTGTCATCATTGTTAATCAATCGTTACCATTGTCACACTGGAATTTTCTGTTTTGGTTGATTAATTTTAAATAATAGATAATTTAACCAATTCAGTTTACAAAGATGTCGAGTAGAAAATTAGAATTTAGGAGTTTTAGGTAGAAGAAAATTGATAGTGAACTAAATTTATATCATGTTAAAAATAATTGACTAAAAAAAATTAGGAAACCTAAATTACACAAAACTTAAAATAGAGAGACTAAATATGCAATTAAGCATAAAAGTTATAAAACTAAAAATTTATTTAATTTTGTTATTGTTTTTAATTTAAAACTGACAATCCTCCTGAACAAAGCGTTGATACAGATTTTAGGTTGTGCAGCTTGTTTTCTTGAAAATTATTTTTAAGTACGTTTTTTAAATACTTGATTAAATTCATTTGTTTAATCAAATAAACAAATATATGGTTGAATTTAGACTCAATGCAATACATGAAGTAAATCCGAAAATATCGTGTACACACAATTATTATTTTAGGATAAGAAAAACGCATGAGAATTTATTTATTGTTATTACTTACTAAATTATAAAATTACTTAAAAATGTAATTTTATTTATTACTATCCATTTCTTAAATTCAATTTTAAAAGGTCATGTTTTCTACTTTTAATTTATTTTTTAGAACAAAAAAGTTTACAATATATTAATTTAACGAACTTAAAAAACGCATTAACGAAAACCTTGGTACAGGAAAAAGAAATCATCTAACAACTCAATGCTAGACTCTTTTAATTAGTTGACATTCGTGTGGTAAACCTTCAATTATCTTTTTCTACGTGCAGTAGAATGATAGATTTATTTTTTTAGTTTCATTCTACGTTCAAGTCCTCGTTCAAATCAAACCATTTCGATTGATTTATTATAGAAGAAATTATAAAATTAAAAACTAAAATTTCAATCTGGTATTGGAAAAACTAGAGTCTTTTAATTTATTTTTTTTGAAAAAAATATTAAAATCAATTCATAAATGTGTAGTTTATTTATTATAATTTATAAGTCTGACAAAAATAGTGATGTGACATGTTAAATGTAAGATATCTTACTAATGTGTATCTAATTATAAAAATTACAAATATTACAATATAAAATAAATAAAAAAATATTTTATCTTTTCCACATTCTTAACGCAATGTTATATAAAGAATAAAATGAATTATATTTTCAGAGAAATCAGTGTGCTATATTGAACTCGACGTTTTGGAGTGACATCTCAGATGATGATTGCATTATTTCGAGATGATTTAGATGGCTAAAAAGTGATTGATTATTGATACGATTCTTGCAAGAAATATTCTGATGTTCAATTAAGAGAGAATTTTTATAGAATTACTAAGTGAAATTGCTTATCATTGAAAGGTACTTCAATAACGAAAGAAACGTGAAACTAAAATTAGCAACCAAAACTGTTTAACTACTGATAATTATTTAATTCATGTTTATTTTGTTTTTTAAATAGATATCTTAATAAAAGAAATCTCTATTTTTTCTTATTTAATTTTTTAAACTATGATGAACTTTTTTATTTTAAAAATATTATGAGTTTTTATTTACTTTTTATAATATTATAATTTTTTTAGTCTTTTTAAAGCACAGGACTATTTTTTACATTTTTTAAAAATAAATAAAAATTAACAAAAAACTCTTTCACGACAAAATTTTTAAAAACTGAAAATAAGACATCAAGTAAAAAAATAGTATGTTTAAAAAATAAAAACTTAATCAAATCAATATTTACTGAAAACTAATATCAATTGTATTTCAAAATGATATATTTGCAATAGAAAATAAAGATTTATCGTATAAAAAGTATAATAAATATATTAATAAAAATATTATTTTAAAATCAAATATGTATAATTATTAAACACAATCACTTTGAGACCATAATTAAATCAATTATAGATCTTCTCTTACATCAATTATCCAATTTTTGTTTTGTCCTTACTCTTTTATTTTTTAAAAGTGAAACTTTAGTTTTTGTTTTATACAAATAGCGTCCCCTGGTTAGATGATAATTATTCTATGAATGTGACAAATCTTAGATAGCACCATCTTTTAAAAGACAACAAATAATGTGTTTGCATAACACAATATCATATCTATATATGATACTTTTTTTGAAAAAAATAAAGAAAATAACATTTCTGATTAAGACGATAGTTGTGTCGCGTGTAATTATCTATTCCAGAAAAAGAATATATTTAATAAAAGCCTTAATTTAATAATTAGTTTTTAAAAAACTCCTAATTAAACAAAAAAAAAAAACCTAGGATTTGCCTCAAATTATGGACAATATTATATACATTAACACTATCTATAAAATAAAATTTATTTGATAACATTTATTAATTTTATTTATAAATTTATGTCTAGAGATGACAATAGATAAAATATTCGATGAATACCTACAAAATTTACTTTCAACAGGTAGGGTATTTACTCGCTAAATGAGTATGAGTATGAAGAAATACTCACAAATTTCAATAGAAATGAATGCGGATATGAGTACCTAGGTACCCATCCTGCCTCATACCCGTGTATATATATATATATATATATTATTCATTATGCTACTTATGTGAGAGATGCCTTAATCCAAAACACATAATAAGAGGGAATTAGAGTTAATACTTTATATATTTGACTATATCCCCTCTATAGCCATTGAAAATTATATAATTATATGAGTTGTTCTACAACTTGTCCTATCAAAAGTTATATTTTAGGAGCGAGACTTACAGAGAAAGATCTAACTTATCACTTGTTATAGAATTCAGAGATTAATTATGATAACTTTTATACAAAAGTAAGTTTTCAACAAGTAAGCTTAGAACTCTATTATAATTATTATTGATATTTCTAATTATCTTTATTGTTCTAATTTCATATAATTTTGTTTGAATAATTTTTTTACTTACAAAGGAGTAACCAAGAATTTAAGAAAATAAGAACCTAGCTCTTAATTTTTAGAAATTTTTTGTGGATACTTTTGTAAAATTTTGATCAAGATAAATATTTCACTATTTATTTTATATAATTTCATGTCTTATATTTTTCACTCAGTTCAAAATTATTTTATAAGCCATAATTATTTTATTTTTTTTGAATAGACAAATTTTATATTTTAAATTTTTTAGTAATATTATCTTTCAATTTATAATTCTCTATTTTTAAATTTTTTCTATGTAAAATAAAAGGTTGAGAAATTTAATATACATATTTATGTTACTCAAATAAAAGAATGCATTTTTTTGCTATTAAAAGAATGCATATTTCATGATATAAAAATCTATCTAATTAAATTTATTTTATAAGATTAACATGAAAATATATTTATCAATAAAGTAAACCATAAAAGTAAATTTTTTCATATTTTTAATAAAAATTTATTTACTATTTTATATCATTTAACTAGACTAACATAATTTAATTATTATACAACCTGAAAATACTCCTTTTCAATTATTTTCATTACTTTCACAAATCTCAAAATGCTTCTAAAAGTGTCCTTAATGATTCTAAACCGAGTGACAGTTTCGATATTAAAGGTCAATCTCAATCGAAATAGATGGAGATGATTGTGATGCAACTAATGATAAAAAAAAATAAAAAATCATAATGGATATAGATAGATCATCCACTTATTTGAGTAATTATCACTTTAATTCACAAAAAATTTACTTTTATGATAATAATTCATGAGTATCCACTTTTTATGGTGAACCATTTAGGGTTTAGAGCATATTCACAAAAAAATCTAAAAGAGATCTTGTTTTCTATTTATAGTTGACCTTTGTTTGGTAATTACATATTAAACTTTTGTATTATTATGCTACTTATATAAAATTATATAAACATATTTTTTTATAAGTATTTTTTTTCTTAAACAAGTGCGGGTAATAAGAGCGAATATGAGTATGCAGCTATCTAGAAAATATAAGTATGAGAATTAAAATTACTACCTACATGAATATAAAACTGAGTACATATATTGTTTTAAAACATAAGTATAGAGATAGGTACTATAGTACCCTACTCATATCTCACCTATTGCCATCCCTATTCATGTCATTGTCATGTTAAGCTAGTTTTATGCGTTTATGTCATTGATTTGTTTATAATTCAATGGCTCGTATTTTAATTTTTGACCAAATATTTCTATAAATATAACTAAACTAATCCTAATACTGCTCGTGCGCTTCTATGGGATGCTATTTTGTCTCTTAAGCTAATTTAGCCGTTGTAGAATATATTTATAACACACTTGATAAACTTCATTTCTTTATTAAATAGCAACATTGATGTGTGTATACAACTATGAATATTTTGCTCGAAAACAGTCAATTGTGACAAAATGGAAGACATCCACTGTTTTTGGGCTTCCACACTACATAAACATAAGTCTCTGCAAATACCATTACAAGGAAAAGAGAGAGCCAACGATGGGAACAGAGGAGGTTCTATAAAAGAATCTCGTCTTGAACGCCAACATTTAGTGTCTTATGTGGCAGAACAATGCTATTAACGACCACAACCTCGTCCTCAACGGTTACAGATTCACCTGGTCTCAGCAAGAGAACAAGACTTGCATAGTTAGTAATAAAGCTGTACTGTTTGATACGTCCCCGTTAAAGTAAAAAATATTAAGAAGTAAATAAGAGACAGCACACAGATAAGGTGAAGAAAGGTACCCAATATAGTGACCCCAAGTTTTGCATTGTAATCTCCACTAGCCTGGTTTAGTTTATCCAGTTTAGCAAACAAATTGCGAATAAAATCAAATGTAAAGAAAATAGAAAATGAAAAAAGTAAGCTCAAAAAGTAGCTTATTTTATAAATGCTTTAGTTAGGGACATCATCCTTAACATGGTTAAAAACGTAAGAGGAAGCTAAAGGAAAATCCATGCCAGGTCAGGGACTATAAATCAGTCCACTTATATATGTTGTTGGGTGTTGCGCAATAATCAAGAAAGTCATTAAATGGGACTTATAAGTAAAAATGATTGAATTGAATCAGACTACTCTACTGAAATACTAAAAATATTCTTCGTTCTGCCAATTTCCCCTCACTTATTCTTCAACATGAAAAATGACTTCCAATGCACAACAATGAGCATCAATTATATTTATGTCTGACAGCAACACTGATTTGCAGAATAGCTTGGATGAATAAACTCATCCAATCATAAGTCTTATGTCTATTTCTCTATGGTGTTTATCCTCTTCTCATATTGACATGTCAAACTAGTACTAACCGTGCAATGATTAAAATTACATGCTGTTAATGCTAAAGTTTAAATACATCTTTGCTGAAAAATAAAACATAATCTGCGAAGGATTTTTCTAAAAGTATAGTTGACACTTATTTCTTCAAGTCAGTATTTTAGGATTATACATAATGTTATCTGATCTGATAAAGGGCCAAGGTATACTCTAAAATGCATATGATCAGGCTTAAGAGGTGTGGAGTGGTTGTCGTAGCGGTAAATATCTCCATGTTCTAGTAAATGGGATGGGAATGCATTATTATAATTGCTTTTGAGAAGTTTCGAGAACTATAGATAAGTAACAGGAAACACAACACATGCATTTTAGTTGGCAGTGCAGTAAAATTTAATATTAAAATTTATAAACTTGCCTGGACACGGGCCCATCGTCCAATAGAGGATTTCCATCCAACTATTGCATGAATAACTACAGCATTCTCCTGTTAGATGAAATGTAAAAAATTAAAGCTTCAAAAATGCTTATGCACTTCAAAGTTCAAACCAATTAATCTGGACACTTGCCTTGATTTCAACATCATCAAGGACAATACAACTGATGAGCCTTGCGCCAGCTCCTATACGAGCATTTGCAGATATTGATACGCTAGGACCAATCTGTTCAATCACAATTAAAATTGTCAATTTGCATATCAGTATGTGCATTGAATTAAATTTCTTACATAATGTGCATCAAATAAAATTCTTGCACTGTATTCATGACACAGATCAAGTGGCCAAAGATATACAATTTGTCAATAAAATGCAACATGAAAGAATACCAATAACCAAATTAGAGGTATCATGTACCAGAAGTAAAAATAATATCCTAAGCTGTAATGCAATTTAAGAAAAAATATGCATATCATGAATGAAAAAGAGGAACTAAGATGATTGTGGAAGCCTCTAGTTGGCACTATCAAATAAAAACAGGTGAGGTGGATATTCACCTTAGCAGATGGATGGACTTTTGCTGATGGGTGAATGTAAACATCACCAGTGATGCTGGCTTTCTTAATACCATCTCCACTTGCTAATAGGTGGGGGGAGGTGTGACGAAATTGGGCAAGATACAGGCCAGAACATTTTATGGACATTCTGCAAGAATCAAGTCAGCTTATATAAGAATTTTTCACAAGGGGAATGATGAATATGTAACATAATACTTGGGCTTACGCAGGAGTTTTAATTTGTTCCCAAAAGTCCGTGGTTTCATATATATATAACTGCTTCTTCCCTGCAAGAGGTGAGAGGATATCTTGATCCAATCTGACATAATTGGCTGGAAGACTCCTGCAAAAGAACTCTTCAGAATCAGATGTAAGGATAAACCATGTAAACTACCCTTATTTTCATGCTGTATATTTAAATGAATATTTCTTCCAAAAGCTTAATTTATCTCAATGTGGGCTCAACAATATATATTGAACTAATATATAGACTAGCTTAGAGACTGCATAACACTATAACAGATACTGACATCCAATAGCTCATTATCACCAAAGCTTATGTTCCACCAAAAGACGTACATAATGTATACACATGCCATGCTTATCAATGGATTTGACATAAGAAGACAATTCTTCAGAGGCAGGGAAAGCAATGTACATCCTGAAGTGACCCTAAAAATATAACTTGAGTATGTAAACCAGCATAACATAATAAAACCCCTGATTTAATTATTTGAAAACTCCTTGTTTTGGTAAGACCATGAGGTGACCTGAAACTATTTGGTAGTGGGACCAATCCTCCCTTGGGTGTTGCACAAGCTCCGGTCACAAGTTGCTTCTGACAGGTTCTAAAAGATTAGATACTGTTGTGCATGGCTAACAAGCTATCATATTTAACTTCATATCAAAACTACTATTCTGAAGAAGATATATGAAGATGTGCTAAATTTCTGGAAATAAATTCTCAAGGAAATAAACCATAAGGTCAACTTGGTAAGAATTAGTACCACTTAAATTTCATTCTTATGATTGATCTGTTAATTCAGGTAGGAAGTAGGATCATAGCGGAAATATTTCTCATGAAAGAGAATTTCCAATTTTAACTTGTTTCTTTTGGGTGTAAAGAACTGTATGGAGGCTTATGCTTAAATGCTTTATTTTGTGACTCATGATGAGCAATTAAGTGAACTGACAATATTGTTGAAGTGATTAACTTTAAAACGATTATTTTTTAGCTCAAATGATTGATATATTACATATACATAAAAGACAAGTTTACACAGTGATAAGAATAAGAAAAGAATGATATCAGTTTAAGAAGGTAATTAATTAAAAATGCAAACTATTGGGATCCTTGACCAGAATTTAAGCTTTAGCTCATGGCATGAACTGATATAGTTGATGTTATTAATGATCAGAATGATGCTTCAGGAAGTTCTGGTAAACTAAAACCAGTAAAAAAATATGATTATTCATAAGTTCAAACCTTGTGTCTGGTTGCATTGCTTCAAAGCTGGAGACACGCCTTAGATTAGCTGCAAATGAAATGGGACACAAATAACTCGTTATTTTCAACTCCTTATATGCAGAACAATTGAAAGAAAAACCAAGATTTTGACTTTAAAAATTTAATATAAAGTTCATTCATTTTAATAATCCATGTGGCTACAGTCTAAGACAATTCACTGACCTCTGTCTTTCCGCTGCGTAGATACACCCTCAATGGCTGTAAAGATATCCGGTGTAAATATATACACACCACAGTTTATACGATCACTTACCTGCATTCAGGTAAGCTGGCAGTGTAAGACTGGTAAACAACAGGGAAGAGATGAAAGAATTTCAAATTTTAGTTAAGAAAGTCAAGGCATAAGCACATGAACATACAAAAGTTTCAGGTTTCTCTGTGTAATGCAATAGTTCATTGGTGATTGGATCAGCTACCAATTCCCCAAACTGGCTGGCTGACTCTGGAGAAACCTTCAAAATGTAGGAGAAAGAAAAAAGTTGGATGCTAATCACCAAAATTTAATGCTAAATATACAAAGTAGTATGTGTATTATCCAACCTTAACAACTAGTATTGTTCCTATGCCACCATATCTTCTGTGAGCATCTGTAAGCATAGATTGAAAGGGCAACAATTAATTGTTGTGGTAGAAATGTAATAGTTAAGAGAACTCAAGGAAGCTCAAAAATACTATTCTGCAAAGAAACTCAAGCATCTAACAGTTGCATGTACAAGAAAATATAATCTATTTCAGACAAGAAATTACCCAGCATTTCTGGCAGTGGAAAACTGCAGCAAACATCACAGTTCAGCAAGAAAATATGTGACTGCCATACAAAACGTGATCAACTTTATCAAAACATATATACACAAGCACGAGCTCGTAACACATTTCAGTCATTTCACATAGCAAAACCTTTTGAAAACACATTCACATATGTAAGAAACTTTCATAATAATCAAGCAAGGACAAAGTCATAGGTAAGGATGAAAACCGGATCCTCCTCCATGATCAGATCTCTAAAGTGATAAAGACCACCAGCCGAACCATGTGGCCGATCTTCCTTTAAGTATCTAACATCACAGCACAAATGAAATAAGTGACCAATCTTACCTTAAGACACAAAATTGAAACCCTTTTAAAGGTTATATTATTATAAAATTATTAGAAAAACAAGACAAACACACCTAACAGGGACTTTAAGCTCATTTGAGATAGAGGATACATATAATGCAAATTCACGTTCCTCATAGAAACCAATGAGATAAATCTGAGCCAAATTGGGAATCTGGGACGAAAACCAATAGTTAATTACCAATTACATGGCAGATTATATACAAACATTATATGATATAGTATATATACATATTTTCAATATTTTAACAATGGTGTATAATTATGAATACCCTTTTACAAGCAGAAATTGGATGATGAACCATGGGCTGTCCCGCTAATGGAAAAAGTGGCTTTGGTATGTTGAATGACAATGGTCGAAATCTAGTCCCTGTAAAAGAAGAAAAAATAAATGAATCTACTATAGTTCAATTTAACATGAAAAAACAATTTGTGTGGTCTCAAGTGAAGAAAAACACACACAAGAGGAAGTGAAGAGAGAAATGGATGAATGATACCTTTGGTGGGTCCTCCAACCATGATCACAGCGACGACCCTCTCATTTGCAGTTACCATTTTGGCGACTAACAGAGAGAAGTGAGATACACTTAACAGTTAAGAGAGGAGAGACGAAAAGAGAGAAGAAGGTTCAGAGTTCAAAATGAAGTGATGGTGTTATTTGTGTTTATTGAGGCGTCACAGAGAGAGAGAGACACAGTAACGAACAAAATATCTAAAAATGCAATGCAGTTTCAAAACAGAGAGAGGGGGTTAGATTGATGATAGTTAGATGAGGTTGGTTTCATTTGTTTGTCTGTTTATATATCAGATCACAACCAGTTTCGTTGTCGGTAATAAAAAGCGCACAACTCAGTAAACATTGCCACCCTTCGTGCTCGCCTTCCCTTTTCTCTTTTTTTTAATAATTTCCCCCTTCTAATATATTTTTAATAACATTCTCTTATTATCTAAATTTATATTATTCATATATATATATTATTTAATTTTTAAGATATTAAAAAATTATAACTGTTAATTTAAAGAAACTATATAATACTTTTTTAAGTTTATAAATATTATAATAAATAATTTTTGTGTGTTATTTTTTATTAATTAATTTATTTTTTTGAATTTAAATTTATTAATCAATACATTGTTCAAATTTATAGAATATTCTAAATCGATAAACGTTCTCGCATATTTCAATTAATTATTGTAAGTTAAATTAATTTTTTATTTAAGACGTTTATTTAAAATTTATAAGATTAATTTTTGTATTTTTTTTATTAAAAATATACGTTTCAATGAAAAGAAATGGTTTAAATTAATTTATGTATACATTTTAATTATATTTACTAATTTAAGATTAATTTTATAAAAAATAATTATAAACACTTATCGATTAAACTCACTTTATTTATTTAGACTATGTTACACTTATCATAATAAAACTAATTTTGAAAAAGTTAACTTATTTATAGCATATTTCAAAGATAAATTCAATAATTATTTAATTTAAATAATAATAAAAATAATTTTTTTAACGTATAAATAAATATAAATATAATTTTAAAAGTCATATGAATGTCGTGCTCAAAATGATTATAGTTACTCCAGAGAGTTTAAGAATATTTGAAAATAATTATATATACATATAATTTTCTATTAATGATTAAATAATAATAATATTTAAATAATAAAAATTGTTGGCAGAGAATATCTCTGTAAATGAATACGATCATTTATATTTAACTTTCATTTAAATAAAATAAAAATATGGAGCTCACTTTCACTGGGTGGGTAAGTACCAGGTATGCATAATACACTGGGCAATGCATGTACAGCCGCGGAAAGTTCTTTCTATCTTTCCTCGGATTTGGAGTTTTCCATTCTAAATAGATATTGATTATGTATCTTTTAAATTTGTATTTGGTTCTTACGTGAGTTATATAGTTTTTTAATTCAGTCTCTAATCCTAAAAATTTTAGAATAGCCATTAATATGTTTTTAAGGGTTCTTTGCTAGTGTCAAAATACACCCAAAACTAACAATTTACAATTATAATATGCTAGTTAAAAAAAAGCCAAAATAAAAAAACTTATTAAAATATACTTTTACTCTTAATCGCTTTTGATTATTATTCAATCATGAGTATATTTTCCTTTTGGTAGAAATGAATCAGGTTTTGTCATTAGTAGGCCTAAAATCTTTAGTTGCAGATAATGCCTTATATATATATATAAATTAAAGTGGTTTAGCTTTTGTGTTCAAGTGCCAAGTACAAGATAGATTAGTAACATAGGTATATATTGTTTTTATTATAAGAATCAAGTTCATTAATTTTGAAATATTTCCATAATTAAGAATTAAATATATAATAACTAAAGTTAAACTGAAATTATGTCACATATATAAGGATCAACGTATATTTTAACTAAAATATGTCATAAGCATTTTAAACAAAATACTTAAGCTTTTTAATGCGACTAACATAGCTTGTAGCAGTAAATATGAGAGAAGTTCTGAAAGCTGTCAAAATAGACAAATGCATCCATTCTTTTTGTGTTGATGGACCGTGTCCTTGTGACAAGATACCAATATAATAATCTTAATTTTAATGTCAAAAAAGCTTTTAAGGCCTGTTTCTCACCTTTTCATTAAATTAAATAAATTATAATCTCAGATAAGTAGTTCAACCTAATAAGGCATTATTGCATTGGCTGAAATTTTGTTACGAAACTACACATCTGACGAGGACAAGAAAAGGAAAGACCATAATCTGTCTACCAGTGTCGTACGAACAAATAACGGGAAAGGTGAATAATTAACCATTTACCTACCTAGTAACTTCTATTAACATGTTTCTGTACACTGTAATCATCAATCATAGTTTCAAAGGGGGAAAAAAGAGGCAAAAGAGTGCACCTATAGCAAAATTTGAACTGCTTCAAAGTGAAATATGAGTTAGTTGCAGCCCAAAATTATCAATGATATGGATGATAATTTCCTTAATTTTCTAACAATAATTCATGCACAAAGATGAAAAAAGAAAAGAAAAGAGATTATCCATATTATCAATAATTATGCAAGATGTTTGACATAATGTTAACTATATATCTAATAAGGGGAAAAGGATGAGAAGATGTATATAGGCTGTTATTAAAGTAATTTTTGATGAGATATCGAAAAGGGAAGTGTGGACTCCAAATCTTGAGCAAGACAAATTATTGCTCCAATCATGTGACAGTAATGTCCAACCATGAAGAACAATTACTTTTGCATCAAGATATCGGAAAAAGCTGTGATTTAATAGCTGGAATTTTCTTTCTTCTTGCATAAGCAACTAGCATGGATTACCATGAACATTACACAGCATCACACTAATAGCATTAGTTTCTGTGGGCCAAAAAGTCTATATTTGCTTCTTCACGTAGATGCAGCCCACTACCAACGGCATTACTTTCTTGAGATATATTTAAGAGATACAATACATTCTTTATGATATATTTAAATACATCCTTTGGGATATATTTAAAAGATTAAATGGGAAAAGAAAAAAGGACAAGTTTTTTATTTCTAAAATAAAAATAAACAAAGAACGGGGCCTTAAGTTTTTGATAATTTATTATTTTAAAAATTATTAAATTAAATTAAAAAATTATATTTTTTCTTTCTAAAGTTATATTCCTAAATGGCTAAACCTATACTTAAAGGATTATTGCAATTGTGTTGTAAAAACACCTACAATTTCATGCTTGTAAAGGTGGTAAATTCATAAAATTGAATCGTTGACTCGAATTTGTTTATGCAAGTCCAATCTCTTACAAGTTCTTTACAAATCCAAATAAATGTTAACTTGTTATCGTTGTGGTGTAATTCAAATGTTTAGTTAAAGAAGATGTGCAACTAAAAAAGCAAGAGTTATAAATCTTATCATCTTTAAAATTAAAAAATTTAAAAAGCCCTTTGGTTAAAAATTCAAATATATTCCAACTGTTCTTAATACATAAATCGCACAACTTTAAATATTTTGGCGACCTGCATACGAGTATGTTGTGTGCTAAAACCTGGTATGACTTATAGTTAGTACATGAATTGTTTGACGGAAATGCAATTTATGCTTTAAATACAAAGTGTGCTATTATTAAGCATGGGGTGTGCTCAACTAATGTATAAATAAGAAATGTTGTGTAACTTGTATTCAATTAAAAGGAAAAGAATAAACAAAAAATTATGGAGGTAAAAAATTTCAATCGATATGATGATAATAGACATATCTATGTAAGGTTGCAAGAGTTGGTAATTTGGTTTATATTGAGTAGTTAAAAAATAAATTTTGAAAGTATATTTTATTAATTTTTTTGTTTAATTAGACAAAATTAAATTTTATCTTATATTTCTTTAATTTAATTAGTTTAGTGTGTCGTAATATTTATCGGTGATTTAACCTATATTAGTTTATTTGATTCAACTTATGCATGTCTTTTATAGTAGACGTAAATAGATAGCAATTAAACAATCTCATTTAAAGGTGTAACTTTACCTTCAAATAGCTGGGTTTTGACACTTAGCACAAGTTGGATGTTATGACTATGATAGAATATTTACTAGTTTGCTTATTGAGTGATGGTGACTAAAAATACTCATATTTTGTTTCTCATTTAGAGAGTGCACAATCACACTTGAAGATGTAACATTCCAATTAGGGTTATGAGTAAACCGACCTGTGTAATACCTTGATTTAAATTTTTAAATAAATGAATTTCACAAAAATAAAAATAATAAATTTTTTTATTCAAATGATTCCAAATGCATAGTTTATAATAAAATATTTCAAAATAAGGATGTATTATAATTTGAATCAAATAATTGTTACAAGACTTACTTAATACATTTCAGTTTTAAAATAAATATTCTAAGTCCTATAGCAGTATCATCCATTCATTTATTAGGTCCGATGCTGATCGTCTTGATCACCTAAAAAATAAATATAAGGGTGAGTACTCTACACTATCACACGCAAGCACAGAGACTCACCTTACACACTGTACACTTTTCTGACATTATTCAAATCACATATCAAGCAAATATAAAAGAATACACATTCAACATCAACCAATTCACAAACAGGTGCGCTTACTGCACTATCAATCAATCTACACACGTGCGCTCACTATACATTAGTCACGCTCACTGTGGCATTGTGATCACAGATTCCTGATGGCCTCAACCTCATGGACTTACTCAATTCACACCATGAATGGTTGTCAGATAGCTCTCGCTCCACGGATACAACATGTACGGTACTGAGCCTTCTAAGTAAAGGTGTTAGTCAGATGCCGAGTTAGGAGGAGAGTGTGTGGCCTATGCTACACCTATGCTCACTGTTAGTGTCACCACCACCATATTTTCTCCAAGAAATTTCTACCGCCCCTATCTTTCACACCCCCAATGTATCGCTGAACTATTCATAGTTTTCCAACATTCTAAACATCATCACAATCACACCCAACATGCCATTCACACATATTTCCAACCATTCACATTATTCAACATCAATCAATGGCATGTCTAAGCATTCAACTACATACTCAATCACATCACACTTAAACATCAAATTTTTATCACAATCAAATTACTACATTACCCACACTATGCTCAATATTCATTTCATCATGCTCAATCAAGAATCTTCTATCAAAACACGTCTATCCCTACATTCTTTTTCAACGACATTACAACCCATAACAAATAAACAAATTCAAA